CCTCCGCGCAACCCACACCGCCCACGTCTCCGGAGCCGCCGCGAAGCAGCCCGGGTCCGAGCCCGGCGCCCGGTCCTGCCCGAGAAAAAGGCTCCGGCAAGAGGGGCCCCGACCGCGGCAGCCCGGAGTACCGACAGCGACGCGAGCGCAACAACATCGCGGTGCGCAAGAGTCGCGACAAGGCCAAGCGACGCAACCAGGAGATGCAGCAGAAGCTGGTGGAGTTGTCGGCGGAGAACGAGAAACTGCACCAGCGCGTGGAGCAGCTCACGCGGGACCTGGCCGGCCTCCGGCAGTTCTTCAAACAGCTGCCCAGCCCGTCCTTCCTGTCGTCCGCCGGGGCCGCCGACTGCCGGTAACGCGCGGCCAGGGCCGGGAGAGACTCACCAACGACCGATACCTCAGAATCGACGGGCCCGGAGTGGAGCGCGCCCCAGCCAGGCGCCGCGAGAGTCGCCCGGCGCCTGCTGTAGTTTCTTTGGGACATGTGAGTGAAAGGAAGCTACAGCCTGGACTTACAGTCACTGAACTGCGAGAGAAGCTAGACGTGTTTATTTTCCCTTAAATTATTTTTATAATGGTAGCTTTTTCTACATCTTACTCTTATTGAAGCAGCTAAGGTACATTTGTAAAAAAACAAAAACCCTTTCAAACCAAACCTTTGTATTGTAGATAAGAGGAAAAGACTGAGCATGATCACTTTTTATATTAATTTTTACAACATTTGTAAGAATAAAGAAGCATTTAAAATCGCCCCTGCTTCATATATTCGCAATGACTACAGCACACCCGCGCCAGGACCCTAAACGGGGCGTGCCAGACCTAGCCTGAGGTGAGCACCTGGGGGCCTTGGGACCAGGTGTGTTTTTCTCTTGGGGGATGGAGCTTCTTAGACAAGAGGGTCAGCTTGCTTTTCGAACATGCCAGAGACTCCTTCCACACGTTTTCTTTAGCTCGCCTAAAATACGTCTGGCATGACTAAGCGCGCCTAAGGCTAGCAGCTTTCCACTGGAAGATGCTCTCCCCAGAGCACCTAGACCTGGGTTGGGGCTGGTTGATTTGGGGGCCCTCCGCTGATAACATCACTAACTCTAGATTGCGGGTGAGGGATAGAGGAGGCCTTAAGTGATCCGGAAATTTGTTTGGTTCCTCTTCAGCTTTCCTGGGACTTTGCTTTCACTTTCCTGAGTCTTCAGGACCACAGAGGAGTGTAGATTTTCAAAGTGTGCATAAGGACGAAATAGTCTTGCAGTAGATACAAAGGCAGTCCTCAAGCTATTTTAAACTGGCTATTTTGTTAGCAATTGTAATGTTTCAAGGCTTAATCCAAACGAAGCCATCTGCTTTTTTTCCTAAGAAAACTGGTTATTTGGCACCTTTTCTTGTCTAAGAACTGGGCAGTTAGGTGTATATTATGTAATTAATTAACCATGGTTTGGCGTCATGTTGAGGAAGAAAACAAAATCTTTAGCATCCAAAGATAATTCATGGCTTTATGTGTATTAAATCTGTGCTAACAAAGTGAATAATGATAAGCGACTGCTCTAAATCTGCGTGATCTTTGCTCCTGTCACAGTGCAGTTACCCAGCTTGATCCAACAGGTCATGTGGTGGAGTGAGCTTCCCATATCTCTACTCAGTATACAACTTTATCAATATATATAACTTATTTATAGTTCATGGATAACATTTAATCTCTGACATAGTTTCCCAGGACTTTTTCCCAAAAAATACTGAACTGCAAAATGCTTAGATTGGACATTTATTGTATCAGAACAGTAATATCACAATGTGGGACAAAGTTTTAAGCTTCACAAGGTATTTTTCTTTGGGGAAATGAAAACATACAAGGAAAAGATGACAAATCATAAAATTTTGAATACTATTAAGCTATAATTGTACAAAATATTTATGTCCAATATTATTGCCTAACATATATACAAAATGAAGGTCTCAGGTTTATTAAAGCTCTAGACACATTCCTAAATTTGTGGAAAATAATAAAAAAGCCATAGAAAAGATCTTTTAGATTTATAGTTTACAAAACCATCTTACATTTGTCCCAGAAAAATCGTGTAAGTTTCATTTTAAGATCATAAAATAATTCACTCTGTCCATAGTTAACAAATAACTACAAAACTCAGTCCCCACCCCCACCCTTGCAGCCACATTGCAAAGTTCACAAATCCAGTGGCAACTGCTGGCCTTCAGCAGAGTTTCCTCCTGTACTCAGAAGCTCAATTTCCTCCAATCCAATGAAGTTAGTTGGGTGGGTGGTTATGGACTGGACAAAACAACTTAACAGCCCCACCTCCTTTCCGAGGACACTCTTTACTTCATAAGTCTGCAGTGATAAAGGCATGCTGGTTAGAGCAAATAGAGCCAGCCCTGCACGTTTTGTTCCCAGCAACACAGAACAGAACAGGCCCTTTCCCCAGTCCCAGGACCTTCTGTCCTCAAATGGTGAGAAGAGTTGGGTGGGGGGTGCTGCTGTAAAAGCCCCCTTTATTATGGCAAATGAAGGAACTATTTTATTCTGATAACTTAATTCTGTTTTTATACAAGGAACATGTAATACATCTCATGTTTCTTAGTGTATGCTGCGATAAGCTGGCCAAGGGAAGGAATGAGGGACAAGACTTGCAAAGGATCTGCCTGTGCTTCAGCTGGACAGGCAGGCTGGGGCTCAGAGCTGTCTCCACTTCCTTTGGGACACTTCCCCAATCTAGCAACACTTCCGGTCAAAGGATTTCCTGGAACTATGCCCCAAGCTTCCCTCCTCAACAGGATCCTATTTCTTCTTAAATTACAGTATGCTAAACACCTCCTTCTGTGTTGCAATAATGAGACTAAGCTTTTTTTTCACATGCTCAATCTCAGGCAAATTTCCTTTTGATAAGAATTCTGCACAGGGTAACCAGGGTTCCCAACCCTGGCTTGGTCTCCATAGATCAAACTGTAGATCATTTATGGTTAGAGAGTAGGGCAGAAAATAAAAGCTTAAAAGTCTTGGGATAAATGAGATCTTTGGACTTCTGGGAGACACTTTCACAGGAATATTGTGGGCACTCCTCTCCTCTGTGCAAGGCACCTGATAAATTTCTACAACTTTCTGTTTCCTTCATTAAGCTGTAACAACCCAGGAAATCAAGTCTGGAGAGGGCAGACAATGTAGCCAAAGCAGACTACATCTGTGGCTACTTGTGCCCTCCCATCAAGTGGGTGGTCTTACTACCCTCATTCTGAGGCTGGGCTGGTTTCAGTGACTGGCTTCTCCTTACAGTGAAGAGGCACAGCCCAGCCTGCCTGTCCAGCTGAAGCACAGGCAGATCCTCTGCTAGTAACATCCCAATGGCAGTTAGGAAAAGTACCCAGCCTCTGCCTATCTTTATTAGGGCCAGACACATGCTATGAGAGAGAGTGGTCAGAACCCTGGCTGGGGACTGAAGGAGGTTTCAGCAACCCTAGCCCTGCTTGAGACATCAGGAGATACTAGTGGGGCAGAAACTGTCTTGTCTGAGCCACAAGTATCCATGCAGAATAAATGCTGAAGCCACTAAGCATTGAGATGATTTATTTTGTAGCAATAAGTATCAGGATCATTCTGGGATATGAACACCACTGATGCCAACTCATTATGATTCTATTATTTTCCCACCTATAACACAAGCTTGATGAAAAATACCTAGCCTACTACTTACATGTGTTCTGTTCTTTTGCTTTCTTTCTTTTTTAAAAAAATTATATACACATATATATGTTTATGTACACACCCACACCTACACCCCCCCACACACATTTTAGTTGTCGATGGACCTTTATCTTATTCATTTGCTGAGAATCAAACCCAGTGCTTCACATATGTTAGGCAAGTGCTCCACCACTGAGTCACAATCCCAGCGCCACCCCCCCCTTTTTTTTCCTTTTTGGAAGTACTGGGGTTTGAACCAAGGTGTACTCTACTACTGAGCTACATCCCCAGCCCTTTTTATTTTGTGACAGGGTTTTACTAAGTTGCCAGGGCTGCCTTTAAACTTGGTATCCTCCTTCCTCAGCTTCCTGAGTAGCTGAGTTCACAGGCATGTGCCACTGTGCCCAGTCTTAATGTGCTTTGTAAGAAGTTTTGGCTTCTTTAGCAAAATAAGTTAGAATAATGTCTCAATTGGTGGTCACTGGAGTGATTGGAGAGTATAAGTTGCTGGTCAAGGCAGAAAGAGAAGAAATTAATAATGGAGGTTCTGGCTTTCCTATAGGCTCAACTGTAGCATGGACAATAAGTTCATGGCTCACTCATTCACTCACTCATTGTAGTTTACTATGAGCTTCTGGTCTGGAGGAAGGGTACCAAGCAATAAAGAAAGATGGTCACCAAACAGTACTGGGAGGAGGGTGGCAGGACAGTTAGGTACTTCTCTGGAGTCTCTTAAAAATTTTAGCCTTGCTTGTTGGTGTAAGCAGGAAGGAGACAGCCTAGGCATTCCTATACTCCTTTGGAGCAAATACACATAATTTTGACTTTAAAAAAGTCAATAAAAAATCCTTTCTATTTAAAGTGTTAGGTTTGTCTTATATCACCCATAAATGGAGGTTAAATTATAAATTTTTTTATATTTGGGGAAAGTGAACATGGTGAGGTTAAAACAACTGTAATGGCCAACTCACATGCACTATTCATATGAATGTGTATCTGCATATGTACAAATTGTGTGTGTGTGTGTGTGTGTGTATTTTTTGGGGGGGATTGAATCTAGGGACACTCAACCACTGGGCCTCATAACATGAGTTACTTAGCGCCTCATCATTGCTGAGGCTGGCTCTGAACTCAACGATCCTCCTGCCTCAGCCTCTCGAGCCACTGGGGGTAGAGGCGTGTGCCACTGCACCAGGCTGTATACCTATTTTTAAATGGCACAATATATGTGTTCCCTTAATTTTTCCTTTTCTGAAACTTAAGGGAATGAACTCCTGAATTCCACATAAATATAATGTTATCATTGAGAAATGATATGTACAGTGACAACCAATTCTATTGTTTTCACATCTGGAGCTTGACTACATTAAAGTGAAGGTATAAAATTTACCACTCATGTAACCTTACTAGAAACAGTACATATGCTCCAGGGAATGGAATTATGGTTCTTATGGAAAGCCCTAATTTGACGCTTTAGATTTTTGGTGGATGTGCATTCTTACCAGGAAACCGACAAAATCCAGACTGGGTAATTTGCAGCTCATGTCCTTGCATAGGCCTTTTGATAACTTCTTCAATTAGCTACTTTCCAGGTGAAGAGCCTCCTAAAATGTGTACCTCCAGGCTTGGAAAGTTCCCTTGCTCTGATGGTGTGGGCTCTGAAGTCAGCATCCACAAATACCCAGTGCACTGACCACCCTGTGCCCCTTTACATACATATGCATACACACACCCACAGCACTCAAGCAAACATGTACACAAGTACTTGCACATATACGCTCACATGTGCATGAAGGCACACCTGTCCTCTTGAGCTCTTTTTAAATAGAATTTTATCTATGGGAACATTCTAGTTGAGAAGTTAAATGTATGGGAGGGACAAGGTGCCTCAGCCAGTAGGAAAGCCAAGTGAAGGAGGGAGAAACTGCCAGGGCTTCTTGGCCTTGGAGTCCCTGAAGAGGGGTAGGGTTTACCAGGCAACATGAAGTGCTGCCCATTGCTGGAGGCTTCCTGGAGGAAGCACCAAGCTGCCTTCCTGAGGAGCCCTCAGGTGCCCAGTGGGT